TGTATTCACTATTGTAGGCATGTACTGTATTCACTATTGTAGGCATGTACTGTATTCACTATTGTAGGCATGTACTGTATTCACTATTGTAGGCATGCACTGTATTCACTATTGTAGGCATGTACTCTATTCACTATTGTAGGCATGTTCTGTATTCACTATTGTAGGCATGTACTGTATTCACTATTGTAGGCATGTACTGTATTCACTGTTGTAGGCATGTACTGTATTCACTATTGTAGGCATGTACTGTATTCACTATTGTAGGCATGTACTGTATTCACTATTGTAGGCATGCACTGCCCTCACTTAACTTTTCAAAGATATGTGGAAATGTTGTTTTATTTAAACAGCCGCAGTGCGTCTCTGTAAAGCTTGCTTTCAGGACAAGAAGTGTCTTTTCATTGGCCAAACTAAATAGGCTATTTAGTATGTTGACCTTCAGCTATAATGATTTACCATTATTAGTGATAGAGTGTATTTCGACTTTAATAACTCTATTTCTTTTTTGTTTAAATTCACCAAAAAGCACAATATGCAGGTTTATTTTTAACATAGCAAAAAGTTTTGGAACAACATGGGGCTTATTGGTCCATCTCGGTTTTCCATCCTCTAAACTAAACTAAACTATTAATAAATAATTTTTTTAAAAATCTTAAAGCCAACCCTTATCATCCATTACTTATCAAGCTTTCTTTTAAACTCACTTAAATTTACTGCCTCCACAACATCCGAAGACAACCCATTTCAAATGCCAACCACCCTGTTAGAAAAATGAAACTGTCTTATCTGAAGATGACTCACTATTCTCACAGTTAAGTATTAAAAAATATGATGCATCGACACTATAAATTCCCTTTACGATCTTAAACACCTCGATCAGATCCTCCCTAATTTTTCTTTTTTCAAGAGAAAACAATTTGAGAAATTTCAACCTTTCCTCGTATGACAAACCCTCCATTCCATGCACCATTCTGGTAACCCTCCTCTGAACCCTGTCCAACAATTCAATGTCTTTCCTAAGGTAAGAATCTCAAGCCTGAACACAATACTCCAAATGTGGCCTAACCAGTGACCTATACAATTAATTATTATAATTAATAACTATGGGTACTAGTAAAGGATAATTCGAAGAAAGCACTAGTGGTTTATCCTCTGTAGTGCCATATCATTCATTAAAATGATGCATTGCATAGGTTTGAATGCTGATTTGCCTTTTTGTTCTAATGAACACGTTTCTAGAGACACTGAGTACCTAATCTAATGTTTGCCGGGCAGAATCACTTCATTTCGGTTGTACATTAACCAAAATGTTGTTTTCTGCAAGAAGTAGACAATCTGAATCTATAATTACAGTATTTGATGAATGGCTTCTGATGCCATAATTCTGAAATTACTGTCTAATCCAATTGGATGAATCTCCTAACTTGAGTACGCTGAATTAGGTACAACCGAAACATTTATGAAAAAAAGCACTTTCAGACTATCTTTCAATTCGTATTAATCATTTATTTAAAGAAAACTTTTTAAGAAAGCAAAATGTTTAGTCTTGTCACTTTTCTATAACTATAAATCTTGAACTGTAATATAAGACATTCTGTCCTTCTGAACTGACATAAACAAAACTGAGGTTTGTTTGCAAAGCTACACGAGGGCTATCTGCGCTAGCCGTACCTAATTTAGCAGTGTAAGACTAGAGGGAAGGCAGCTTGTCATCACCACCCACCGCCAACTCTTGGGCTACTTTTTTACCAACGAATAGTGGGATTGACCGTCACATTATAACGCCCCACGGCTGAAAGGGCGAGCATGTTTGGTGTGACGGGGATTCGAACCCGCGACCCACAGATTACAAGTCGAGTTATAGAAGCAAATTAAATAATGGAGACGAATGTATATAATAAAACCTTTACCTAAAGAGCGACATAGTCCAGTAAACAATGGTTGATATCCTTAAACTTACCCCACTAAAATTACTCAACACACCGAATCCAAATATATAGTTTTCTCCGGTCTTCAGTGGTGCATTGAAGAACCCTCCATAGCTTTGACCATCTCCAATGGTAAAATTAGTTTGTATTTCCTCTGGTTGTAATTTTGCAGTGGTGTAGTATAAATTCCCTTCTTCTGATGAATTGTAACTAACCATCATGTTTCTGACGTGTCGTTTATGACGTTTTGAAGAACTCTGTTTTTCTACTCCAATAAAGTAAGCACTGTGTAAAATCATTACAACTTCATTTTAAATGTAGCCAAAATCCATTAATATTTAGACCATTTATGCAACCTAGTTACTAATATAATTTATAAAACAAATGAATCAGGACACTTCAAAGTTAAACATTTAATAAAATTCACCAGTCATTATTAGAACATTTTCTTATATGAGAAGTTAATGTGATAATAATTCTTTGAAGACGAAATATTAGATAAATTGATACAGAACCAATTATAACTAATGGTAAATGTTTGGTTTGGTTTGTTTACTTATTTTTGTTTGTTAGAAGTTAAGCCCAAAGCTACACCATGGTGCTCTTCCAACCACGAATATCGCAACGCGGTTTCTAGCGTTGTAAGTCCGCAGATATACAGCTGTGGCACTGGGGGGGGGGGGGCTTGTTTTTGTTGATAAGAAAGCTGTATAACAAGCTCTCTATGCAGACCCACTGCGAGAACTGAATCTCGAATCTTATCATTAGAAATCATTGAACTTATAACCGAGTCATCAGGAAACTAAATGTTAGGAACATAAAACTTAAAAACATCCAAAATTTGCAAACACCAAAACATTGATCTTACTAGTGTTAATTGGTGACGTTAAGAGAACAGCGGCGTTGTCTAAATGTTTAGAAAACGCAGATTCATAGCATCTTTTTAAACCGAAATTTCGAATTTAATTTTGTGATCAAAATACTGCACTTACTAATGCTAATTAATAGATGTTAAGAAAACAGTAGAGTTTTTTGTAGTGATTTTCCTCCACTTGGTTGTTTACGCTAAACAAGACCAATAACGTATGTGGTTGGCTGAGAGTTTTCTAGTGATTGTCTTCCCCCTAGTTGTTTAAGCTAAACAAGACCAATAAGCATGTGGTTGGCTGAGAGTTTTCTAGTGATTGTCCTCCATTTGGTTGTTTACGCTGTAAGCTAAATGAGACCAATAACCCATGTGGTTAACAGATATTTTTGTAGTGATTGTCTTCCCCCTGGTTGTTTACGCTGTAAGCTAAACAAGACCAATAACGCATGTGGTTGGCTGATAGTTTTGTAGTGATTGTCTTCCCCCTAGTTGTTTAAGCTAAACAAGACCAATACCGCATGTGGTTGGCTGAGAGTTTTCTAGTGATTGTCCTCCACTTGGTTGTTTACGCTGTAAGCTAAATGAGACCTAT